TCTCCTTTCCTCCTCCTCCTCCTCCTCCTCCTCCTCTTCCTCCTCCTCCCTTCCCATCACCAGCATCAGCATCAGCATCAGCATCATCATCATCATCATCATCATCATCATCATCATCATCAGCATCATCATTTTCATCATCATCATCATCATCATCATCATCATCATCATCATCATCATCATCATCATCATCATCATCATCATCATCATCCCCTCCCTCTCCCTACACCATCGTCACCATCATCACCGTCACCCATCATCCATCAGCATCATCATTTGCAGCATCATCCTCATCCACATCCTCATCATCGTCACCATCATCGCCCCCGCCGCCCATGTCGTCACACCCCTCACACGTTTCGTGGCCCCATAGGAGCTCCACCGAAGGCTCCACTGAGGGTGTTCGCATGCGTCTCCCCCACCCAGGACAGCGCTTCGTGGCCCCATAGGGAGCTCTACCGAAGGCCAGAATCGGGGTGTTCGCATGCGTCTCCCCCACCCAGGACAGCGTTTCGAGGCCCCATAGGGAGCTCCACCGAAGGCCCCACTGGGGGTTTTCGCATGCGTCTCCCCCACCCAAGACAGCGTTTCGTGGTCTCATTGTGAGCTTCACCGAAGGCCCCAGTAGGGGTGTTCGCATGCGTCGCCCCCACCCAGGACACTATTTCGCGTCCCCATGGAGCTTCACCGAAGGCCATAATCGGGGTGTTCGCATGCGTCTCCCCCACCCAGGACACCGTTTCGTGGCCCCATAGGGAGCTCCACCGAAAGTCCCAGCGGGGGTGTTCGTATGCATCTCCCCCACCCAGGACAGCGCTTCGTGGCAATAGGGAGGTCCACCGAAGGCCCTACTGAGGGTGTTTGCATGCGTCTCCCCCGCCTAGGAAAGCGCTTCGTGGCCCCATAGGGAGCTCCACCGAAGGCCATAATCGGGGTGTTCGCATGCGTCTCCCCCACCCAGGACAGCGCTTCGTGGCCCCATAGGCAGCTCCACCGAAAGTCCCAGTGGGGGTGTTCGCATGCGTCTCCCCCACACAGGACAGCGCTTCGTGGCAATAGGGAGGTCCACCGAAGGCCCCACTGAAGGTGTTTGCATGCGTCTCCCCCGCCCAGGACAGCGTTTCGTGGCCCCATAGTGAGCTCCACCGAAGGCCATAATCGGGGTGTTCGCATGCGTCTCCCCCACGCAGGACAGCTCTTCGTGGCCCCATAGGGAGCTCCACCGAAGGCCCCAGTGGGGGTGTTCGCATGCGTCTTCCCCCACCCAGGACAGCGTTTCGAGGCCCCATATGGAGCCCCACCGAAGGTCCCCATGGCTGGCGCAGTCCGCATTGTGTTGTTCGTTTTCGTTTGCGTTGTGTACCACGCCACTCATTTCGGCACACCCCTAGCACGGTTCGTTGCCTCATCGGGATCACCACCGAAGAAGTGAATCTCAATTGCGGTACTCACACCTTCATCTGGTTGGGTCCTTCGTCAGGCTATTGTTTGTTTTTCTCTCTCTCTCTCTCTTTCTCTCTCTCTCTCTTTCTCTCTTTCTGGACAGTTCCATGTCGCGATGTTGCGCGCGGAGCCGCGACGCCAAAAAATGCGTGTGTGTGTGTGTGTGTGTGTGTGTGTGTGTGTGTGTGTGTGTGTGTGTGCGCGTGTGTGTGTGTGTGTGTGTGTGTGTGTGTGTGTGTGTGTATGTGTCTATGTGTGTGTGCATGTGTGCATGTGTGCACGTGTGCATGTGTGCATGTGTGTGCATGCGTGCGTGTGCGTGCGCGCGCGTTCGTGCGTACGCGCGGGCGTGCGGGCGTGCGGGCGTGCATGCGTGCGTGCGTGCGTCCACGCGTGCGTGCGTGCGTGCGTGCGTGCGTGTGTGTGTGTGTGTGTGTGTGTGTGTGTGTGTGTGTGTGCGTGTGCGCGTGTGTGTGTGTGTATGCTTGTTTGCGTGCGTGCGTGCGTGTGTGTCGGAGTGTGTGTGTTGTGTGCGTGTCCGTGTGTGTATGTGTTCGCGTGTGTTTGTATGAGTGTGCGTGTGCGCGTGTGCATGTGTGCATGTGGTAGAGAGTGTGTGTATGTGTGTATGTGTATGTGTGTGGGTGTATGTGTGTGGTATGTGTGTGTGCGTGTGCGTGTGTGTGTGTGTGTGTGTGTGCGTGTGCGCGTGCGTGTGTGTGTGCGTGTGTGTGTGTGTGTGTTTGTGTGTGTGTGTGTGTCTGTGTCTGTGTTTGTGTCTGTGTCTGTGTCTGTGTCTGTGTGTTGTGTCTGTGGCTGTGGCTGTGTCTGCGTCTGTGTCTGTGTCTGTGTCTGTGTCTGTGTCTGTGTCTGTGTCTGTGTCTGTGTCTGTGTGTGTGTGGGAGAGGGGGGGCGGGGGGGCTTGAGGAGGGGGGGTTGTTGGGTCTGCGTCGGGCCTCTTCACGGGCTGCGGTCTGCTGCCGCCCCGCGGTGCCTCGCTGCCCCTCCCTCCGTACTGCGCTGAGCTGTCTGCGCGCCTCGTTCGCCGCCTGCCGGGCGCGCGTTTGGCGACCGCCGCCCGCTGCCGCCTCGCTGCTCCCCCAGGGCCGCCCGTCTAGTGGGTCCGCTGGCCCCGCTGCCGGCCCCCTCTCCCGCCGCCGGCGCCCCCGCGCCGCGGCCGCTGCGCCCCTTGCCGCACCATTGCCCCGTGAGGGCCCAGAAGACTTCCACTGTTACGCCCGCGCGCGCGCACCCGCGGGACCGCCGGCGCGCGCGCACCCGCGGGCCCAGCCTGCGACGACCGAGAACTGCATGAGTTGACTGGGTTTGAGTGCGGCGCGCGCATGTTCGCGTAACGCGCCGAAGGCACCCCTTCCTCAAGTCACAGCGGAGGAGGCCCTTGCAGCCCTTCATGTAGGGGCCCCGGACGTGGAAGGGAATTTTCCATGACAGACCCAAGGGTGCACGCGGCAGTCTGTGGTTGTCGCAACCTCGCGGGGAAGGGCCCCGCGTCCCTGATACTACTCACGGACGGGTGTCGCCAGGCCCTCGAGGCCTTCGGGCCCGTCGTATTTTAGGAGCCGTTCGTTGCCACAGGGCTGGCGGCGCTCTTCAGCGACCCCGGCGGTTAAGTCCGCGTTGGCACGGAGCGCGGGCTGCGCCACCTCCATGCAGCGGCTGTGTTTCGATAACCTAGGAGACGACGAAGCTTCCTGCACAATGCTGGCCTTGCAGTACTGATGTCACAAGAACTGGATGCATGTGGCAAACATATTTTTCAGCTCGGGGTGACTGCTCAATGTGGCCTTCACCACACAGGACCTCCGTCTGATTTGTTTCTGTGGGTTGATGTCCCCCCCCCCGCCGCCTTGGCATGACCGACGACGACGGGGGCGAGTTCCGGGGCGAGTTCCGGGGCGACCCGGGGGCGAGTTCCGCTGGCAGCTTCAACCGCGCCGCTGCTACCCAGGCTTTTGAGCTGGAGCGTTCGGCCCCTGAAGGAGGCGTGTGGAACGTACCCGACGCTGCCCTGCGAATCGACCTGATGGAACTCATGACGCCCGCCCTGGGTCAGAGGCAAGTTTCGGTCGCCCCCCAGCATTTTCAAGCAGAGATTCGTCGAGTTCCGGGCTTCCTTTGTTTCCATGACAGATTGCCAAACAGGATCAGGTTCACCCGCAAAGGCCAACCCTCGCACATCGGAAGGCAACTCAGGACAACAAAACAGATGCGCTCACGGAAGAGGACGAGCTTGTCGCGACCGGCTTCATCACGGGAAGCGACGGTTCCGCCCCGCAGTCCTAGGGAAATGCGGGCATCACCGCCGAAGGACCCACTGCTCAGCAAGGTGGCCACAGGGTCTTGGGCAGCGGCTCTAGCCCCTCCGCCCTATTGAGCTGACCGCCGTCGTCACGACTGCGGAGAAAATTGCGGTGTAGCAAGCCAGCCTCGTCGAAGTTACCGCCGCTAGGCCGAACCCAGGGAGGGTCGTGGACGAAGTGGCCTTCGTCTCCAGGAAGACGCTGGCCAGGGAGCCGCAGAGGTCGTGGTAGTGGCCGATCGTCATAGCAGTCGTCGTGGTGGTCTTGTCGTGGTCGTCGTGGTCGACGTCGTCCCGGTCGTGACTGCTGCCCCAGCAATGGCCGTGGTCGGGAGCAGAGGCGATACGACTGGGAATCTTTTGATATCGGGGGAGCGTAAGACCCGGGTTTGCCAGGACTCGGGTTCGCCATCGTTTTTTGACGACCGCGCCTCGGATTTTGACGAGGAGGAGTTTCTTGGGATGTCTGCAGCGGGAGGCCTCGTCAAAATGCAGGCTCGGCCTCGTCATTTTTTTGACGACCTCGTCGGGTATTTCCGAGTCCTCTGTACCCAGGTCTTACGCCCCCCTGATGATAGCGCGTCGCCCAGCCAGTTCTGGCCCACCGCGCTTCGGTGCGGCACGCCGTCCTCTTCACGGTCCCGACGCGGCAACGCCCCGAGCTTTCCCGGGCCTCCCGCCCCGCTGCGCGGAGCGACGCGCTGTTCAACCGCAAGAGAAAGGCGTGCCGCCGGGGCCGGCGTGGCGACACTAAGCATACGTTACTCGGCCGTAGCGGTCGCGGCGCGCTGAGGAGCACTTGGGGGCGGCCAAGCGGGGAGTGGTGATGAGGGGGGCACGTCATGGCCAGGGCAGTGTTGTCTTCCCGGATGTCATGGCCCTGCCTCTCATTGCACCTTCCCCTGGCCCCCCTTGGGCCGCGCACGTGCCTCGCGCCGTGATTTGTGACCCCCCCTCCTGGACGCCCCCCTCTTGGACGCCCCCGACTGGCGACAAAGTTCGAACCCTACCTTCGCCGATCTTCGATTCAGGCCATTGGATGGGCGGCGGGGGTAGGGTTCGAAATTCGTCGAACATTTGGCGAACTCCGAGCTCTAACCCCGCCTGCCATCGATTTATGAGAGTCGAAGGTTGGTGGGGGTCAGCGAAGGTTTGGATGTCGCCACCTACCCGAGATGGTCGCGGCGTTCTGAGGAGCATGTCGGCGTTGCCCGTTCGCGTTTCTCCGCCCCGCGAGGCCCTGCTGGCGCAGAGCGGCCAGCCCCAGGGGGCGTGCCTCGGCGCGCAGGGTGTTGGGGGAGGGGCGCTGCCTCTGCCTCTCTGGGGGACGGGACATGGGTCTATCGAGGGAACGCAAGCATGGACTAAAGGCGGGTGGATGAGGAGGAGGAGCAGGAGGAGGAGGAGGAGGAGGACGAGGAGGAGGAGGAGGAGGAGGAGGAGGAGGACGAGGAGGGCTGGTCTTCTCTGCATGCGCAAGCAGGCGCATTCCGTGGCCAGAGCGAGCGGCACTGTCGTCATGTCTCGGAGCGTCCCTTTCCCGATCCGCGGATCTGGCACCCGCGCGCCAGATCCACCGATCCTTAATCCATGCGCGCCCTCCTCCCTCCTCCCTCCTCCCTCCGAGTCTAGGCATCCCAAGTGGGGTCCGAGCGAATGGGGCTGGAGCATCGCGCCGCATCTCCGATGCATCGGCGAGTCGTTTCGATGCGGAGGCAGACGTTCTGCACGCTGGGGTCACAAGTACATCGCCGACGTCGCGGACGCACCGCCGATGCATCGCCGATGCATCGGCGATGCGGTGCGATCCTCCGATCTCAGCTACTCCGACCGCACATGAGAGGCCTCTACATGAGGACGATCGAATGTTCGCCAGGCGCGTGCCCCAAACAGTGTGTGCTCTGTCAACATATGGTTCGCAATCAATATTGTGCAAGATTTGCGGAGCAGCCTATGTGGTGCAATTTGTTTGATACGGTGTATGCGGTGCAGTCGTTGCTGTGCTATCTACGTGGTGCAACCCATGTGGCGTGCAGCCTATGTGGTGCAATCTATGGTGTGCAATTAATTTCTGTTCGCAGTGAGTTGTCCACTCCACTGCTCGCGCAAACATCCTACCCACCCACCCGCAACTTGGTTTGCAACATCTCTTAAGACCGTGACGGTCGGTACCAAATGGCACTTGGCAACGACAGCGACGCCGACCACGACAGCGACAACGACGACGACGCCGCCGAAAACAACTACAACGACACCAACGACGTCTCCAACGACTTCGACGACGCCGACAACGACAACAACGACGACGACGACACCGACGACGACGACGACGCCGACGCAGACGACGACGACGACGATGACAACGACAACGACGATGACAACACCGACGACGACGACAACAACGACACCGACGACGACGACGACGACGACGACGTCAACGACGCCGACGCCGACGACGACGACGGCAGCGACGACGACGACGCCGACGACGACGACGAAGACGACGACGACGCCGACGCCGACGACGACGATGAAGACGACTACGACGTCGCCAACGAAGACGACGAGGGAGGAGGGAGGACGACGACGGCGACAACGACGACAACGACGACAACGACGAGGGAGGAGGGAGGACGGCGACGACGCGAACGACGAAGAAGGAGGAAGGACGGCGACGTTGATGATGATCACGACGAGGGAGGAGGAAAGACGATGATGATGATAACAACGAAACCTTGTGTTTTTGTATGTTTTCTGGGCACGATTTTGAAATCCTTCCGAAACCGATGGGTTTTGAAGGTTTTCGGCATACGCGCGCAACGACGCGCGCGTCTGCACTTGGTTTTTTTTTTTGCAGAGGATTCTCGCGACGGCACACGCGCAAGGGCGTTCGACAGATTTCGACATGCGCGCGCGCGAAGCCCGTGTGATAGCACTTTGTGAAAATCTTGAAAAACCTTTTGGTTTTCTCAAGATTTCGCAAGAGCTCGCGCGGAAGCTGTTTTAGCACATCAGTGTTGCGAAACCACGTGTTTTTTGCATGGTTTTTGGAAACTCGATTGCGACATCCTTCCGAAACCGAAGGGTTTTGGAAGGATTTCGGCATGCGCGCGCGACGGCGCGCGCGTGTGCACTTCGTCCCATTTGTTGCAAGGGATTCGCGAAACAGTGTTATGTTAGAACAAACATGTCACCGCATAGTGTTTTTTACAAGGGACCCTCAGGGGGGGGAACCCGGTTGGCCTGGGACATTGTGATTTCATATTTAGGATGGACATGTGGTCAGAATCATACATGACCTACAGACCCGAAAGGGGGACCGATAACGCCGGGGGGGTAGAGTCTATTCTCTGTTTAGAAAGGAGAATCTGCGTGGTGCAATCGATGTTGTGCAACGTACGTGGTGCAATCTAAGCGGTGCAATTCTCACTGCCGAGCTTGACTTCGCCAGCTCCACTGCTCGCGCAACCCTCCCACCCACCCACCCACCCACCCGCAACTTAGTTTACAGAAGCCCCTCGGCGGCGATTGCGATGGCTGCTTGGCGCTGGCTGGCGCATTGCTAGGGCCGCGCTAGCGCGCACAGTCTCGCGCGCAGAGCGGCCAGCCAGTCTGGCGCGACCGACACGCAGGCCGCGCTGGCCCGCCGGCATTTCACTGCGAGTCGGTGGTTCGGGCGGGTTTGGTATCATGGCGACGTCGACAACGGCAGATTCGATGATGATCGTAGCGATTCTGGTGGCGACGATGACGATGAACACGGCAAGGCCAATGACGGCGCCGATGCTGACCGCGCCGATGGCGATGTTGCTGTCCACGTGTCCGTTATGACATGCATGCGCTGCCGACGCGTGCGAGTGGCCAGCATGTGTGTTAGTTGGCGGATCGTTCCTTTCAGCACGCAAGCAGGGGCGTTCGAATGATTTTGAAACGCGCGCGCGACAGGCCCGCTGGGTAACATGTGGTGAGCATGTTGAAAACCATGGTCCCCGCAAGATTTCGCATGAACAGGCTCGCACTTTTCCGTCGTTGGAGAATCACATTTCCAAACCGTTGTGTTTTATATTTTGTCGGGGCGAGCAGATCTCTGACATTCTTACGAAATCAATGGTTTTTGTTTGACGGATGTGTCGGCATGCGCGCGCTTCGGCATGTGCGTGGCGATTATGGTTTTTTCGTGGCAAGGTATTGTTGGATACGGATGATTTGTGATGAACGAGTGTCGGTGCATAGTATGATTTCACGAGGGTGAGCGGGGGGGTCGAACCCGGTCTGGCTTGGATGCGATCAGCTTGTACGGAAAATGAGCGATGGGGCAGAATCATATGTAGATTGCGATACGTGAGGCCAGCCGGATAAATCCATGGGGGGCGGGCGGCCGATCCGAATTTTTGATAAGAAAAGGGGGATCGATGTGGTGAGGCGACGGGCGGCGACGAGGCAGCGACGGAACGGCGATGGTAGCAATAAGGCGGCGGATCCGACAGACGAGCCCAGACGATGGGCGGCGACGCGGCGGCGACGGCGGCAACAAGGCGGCGGACCCGACAAACGAGCCCTGACGAACCCACACGACGCGCGGCGAAGAGGCGGCGACGGGGCGGCGGCGGCGGCAACAAGGCGACGGACCCGACAAACGAGCCCAGACGACTGGCTGCGACGAGACGGCGATGGGGAGGCGACGGCGACCACGGAATCGCCAGACCGCCACGCAGGCTCAGACAACGGGTTGCGACGAGGCGGCGACGAGGTGGCGACGAGGCGGCGCTGGCGATCACGGAACCGCCAGGCCGCTTCGCAAATTTAGTTCTTTAGGAGAGAAGTATTTTGCCCTGAGTGCAAGCACTGTTTTGGGAGTAAGAAACATCTTTATGTGAGTAAGAAAGATCTGAGCACAGAAGCTCTCGGAGGTCCAGGCGGACTTCTGAGGTCGGCATTGGGCATCCCCCTCTGCCACAGAGAGGAGAGGTCCATCGCCGACTCGAGAAATTCGCGCGGGCCTCCAGAAGTTGATGTTTATGCCGCACCGTTCGACGAGGCCTTTGCGTTTGCAGCGCTGATGCTGCATCCTGGCCTGTCGTGCCGCAATTGTTATTGGTCATCAGCTCGGCCGCCGCATTTTCCCTCTCCGTGGGTGTGGGCGAGGGTGGTGGGCGACAGGGGAGCTGCCTCCGACCCCCGCTCCCCTCCAGCATCCCTCCGCCCTCATTCCCCACCCCCATATCTCCTGTCCCTTCGTCGCAAGCTCTGGGACCCCCAAGGGCTCAATGGGCACATGCTAGTATCACCTACTCTCGGGCATTCGCCTTTTTCCCTCCACTTCGCCAGAATATACACATATCTAGGTACGCACCTGGACGAAAAGGGCAGTATAGGCCCCGAGCTCGCCCACAGGCGATCGGAGGCGGCCCCCAGTTGGCGCAATCTTGCCCGTCAATTCTTGCGCCACTCTTCTAGTACGTGGCTTCATGAGCACCTGCATTTACTGGACTCCCTCATCCTCTCCTCCCGCCTTTTCAATGCCGCTGTTTGGCCATTGCTCACTGGACCGCAACTAGTCTCCTTACAAGGAGAGATCATGAGAATGTACAGGCGCTTGCTCCACCTCCCAAGGTGCGACAGCACGGCAGAGCGGGACTCATTTGTCCTGGCCAAGGTCTGCAGACCCCCTCTACCGCATATTTTTAGTGCAATGCGTCTGCGCCTCTTTGGCAGGCTCCTCCGCACGGGACCTCCGCACCTCACCTCCCTGCTGGCCAAGTTAGCCGCAGACGTCCCAGACTCATGGCTCGCCCTGGTGCAGAAGGACCTACAGTGGCTGGGCGAATTTTCTGCCAATCTAGCCCAAATGCCCTCGCCAATGACGCACCTGGACCAGTGGGAGGCCCTCGCTCTCCAATCCCACACAGGTTGGAAGCGTCGAATTCGCAATGCCCTTACAGCGGGGGCACAGCATTTCGCTCGCGCAGCACTCGCCGAGGCAGCTGCCAAGCACTTTTTTGCCATTACCGTCCCATGTGGGATCCCCCTGCCGACGGACCATGTACAGCACCCGATCGAGCAGCAACGCCTGGCAGCGCACTACCCAGCGGTGCTCACCTGCCCATGGTGCCCGCGCACATTTTTAAAATTTCGGGGGCTAAAACGACACGTTGCCCAGGTGCACTGGACCTTGTCCCACAGGGTCAAAGGCCTAGTACCGGACACCCAGGTGTGCCCGGCTTGCAGTCTCCCTTTTGGCTCACGCGCCAGTCTCATGCAGCACCTTTGTTTCGACTCTTTCATATGT